ATATATATATATATATAAGCCGCCCTTGGTAATAAATCAGATAAAGAAAAAGAATACATATTATTAAATGTTGCAGGCCAAGATGCCATTAAAAAAAGTAGGAGTTTTACCTACAAACCTGCAATTACTGATGCTGACGGCAACGTTACTCCAGCTGAGTCCCCTGAAAAACTGGCAGACCTAAAGAAAAAAATTTGTGACTTATGCTTACCACAAAAGAATATTATACCAGAAAGGCATAAATTCAACACTCTTTCTAAATTACCAGATGAACCTGTACAAGCATATTTAGGAAGCTGCAAACCCTAGCTAAAAGTTGTGAATTTGGTCCGATAACTGACGAGCTAATAAGAGATAGGATCGTATGAAGTGTTGATAAAGAAGTAGCGAGAAAAGCGTTATTATCTAGAGTGAATTAACTTTAGATAAAGCCATTCAGATATGCCTGGTTCATGAAACTACAGAAAATGCAAACAAACAATTGTCACAGACAATCGACGTACTAAAGTTTGAAAAAACCAAATCGCAGCACAGTAAAGTTTTTGGAAGGTGTGGGACATCTCATCCACGATATAATTGTCCTGCATATAACAAAGAGTGCAGCAGATGTGAAATTTTAGGACATTTTGGAACACAGTGTAGGAAACCTAGGGGTACTAGTGCACAACACAAGCATACTTACAAGAAACCCCAAGGTAAACAAAGATACAAAACAAAGCCTAATAAGCAGACAATGTATGATATCGCAACAGAAGAAGCACAAAATGAAGAATTCTTTGTTGTAGAAGGCATAAACATTGATACAGTTGACAGTAAAAATGTAATAAAAACAACTGTAATGGTCAACAATCTGTCTGTTATATGGTCAACAATCACCCTCTCACATTAAAGATAGACACTGGAGCCAAGTGTAATGTAATACCACTAAATACTCTGCAAAATATTAAAGCTGCTGATGACATAGACCAATCAGAAAAGCCAAATGTGGTAGCATATAGTGGTAATACCATAACTACTTTGGGAATGGCAAGATTAATGATAGATTCAGTGGGAAAACAACACCAACTGAAATTATATGTTCTTGATGGTGATTACACTCCCATAATTGGATTAGCAGATTCTCTAAAACTTGAGTTGCTAAACGTTAATGATAACATGGTGCATGTCGTAACACAAGATATTCCAGAACTAACAGAGTTTTCGGATGTTTTTGGTGACGATTTGGGCAAGTTAGCGATGAAATACAAGATATCTGTAGACCCTTCAGTACCGTACCGTTAGTGGTAAAACCACCAAGGAAAGTTCCAAAGCCCATGGAGGACAAAGTAATTAAAGAACTTAAACGAATGACAAAAATTGGCGTCATCACTCCTGTAGAAAAGGCAATAACATGGGTGTTATCAATGGTTGCAACAAGAAAAAAGAACACTGAAGAAATTAGATTGTGCATAAATTCAAGAGATTTAAATGGTGCTCTGAAGAGACCCCATCACCCAATGAAAATTGTTGAGGAAATAACTAGATATTTAGCCAATGCCACAGTATTTACGGTCTTAGATACTAAAGAATTTTTTTTTGGCAGGTACCATTAGATGAAGAATCTTCAAAGTTGACTACGTTCAACACTTCCCTTGGCCGATACAGGTATCTTAGAATGCCATATGGTATCAATACTCTTTGAAG